CCCTCTTCTCCCGCGTTTCATAAAGGGGCGTGTCACTTTGCAACCTGCGGCGCGCCCACGTTTTATTGAATAGACAATACGAACTTTTGGGTACAGTATGCTGTAAAAACTCTATTAGATAGCCACCTCTAATTGAATGGCAGCCTCTAATACAGTGGCATGGCTACCTAATAGAGTTACCGTAATTTAAATATCCGTCGAAAAAATTCCATCAAAAAGTTTTCTGAAAAAAAGCTTGAAATTCAATGATTCAGTTATAATTTCAAAACAAAAAAATTCAAAACAAAATTATTTTTTCAAAAAATCAAGTTTTCTCCTGCTTTTTCTTCTTCTTCCCAATCGATTTCGTCTCTCTCAACGTGTCATCTTCTTTCAGCATTTCCTTCTTCGCATCGCTCATTTCGCTGAAAATTCCAAATTCAAAATTCACAGATCAGCAAATTCGCTCCATTGAGAAAAATTGAAACTTACGTTTTTCCTCCTCCACCTTCCTTTTCATCCTGTTCCTCTGTTTTCTTGGTTTTTGTTTCTGAAATTTTCAAAAAAAACTTAAAGGTGGTGTACGGTGAAATTTTTTATTGACATAAAAATAAAGAAAAAATTCAAAAAATAATTCCTTCATCGAGAAAAACGCATCGAAAAATACGCTGAAAGCCCTTAGGGACGAGGTTTTTTCTAGGCCGCCCGGTGAGTAAAAGCGCGCGAATTCAAACTTTAAAAATTTTTTCGCTCGTTTTCACTGTTTTTTCGGTTTTTTCAAGAGTTTTCTAGGTTTTTGTAAATTTTCTTCCAGATACATCTAAAAATTTGAAAAAACAGTGAGAACGAGCGAAAAAATTTCAAAAGTTTGAATTCGCGCGCTTTTACTCACCGGGCGGCCTAGAAAAAACCTCGTCCCTAAGGGCTTTCAGCGTATTTTTCGATGCGTTTTTCTCGCCGAAGGAATTTTTTTTGAATTTTTTCTTTATTTTTATGTCAATCTACATGCATTTCTGCACACTTTAAAACAATAAAAAATTTCACCGTACACCACCTTTAAAATATTAAAAAAAAACTACAGTACCCCCATCCTTGTCCATGTCTGCGTCTCCTTGAGGTGTGACCAAAGTCTCTGCGGATTTCGCATCGTTTCGAGTGGATTTTTTCACAGATTTTGTTTTTTCCTGGAATTGAAAAAATTACTGTTTCAAAAAAAAATATTATTTTGAAAGTTTGGTAGTTCCGTTATAACTCTTCAGGAATTTTAGGTTTTTGGAAATCTACAATTTTTATAAAATTTGGATTTTTTAAAGTTTTAATGTTAGATTTCAGATTTTTAAAATCACCTGTAATCACGGGGTGAAAGGGTGTTCGCTTTTGAATGAGCGCGCTCTACTGCACTCTGGCGGTAATTCAAATTTTAAAAATCAACGTGGCTGCGAAGCACGTGTTATTTGAAAAAAAAGTCGATACGGAGTCTTTTTTATTTTCAAATTCCAATGAGAAAACGTGAATTGTTTTTAAACGTGTTGCCCTTGTTTCTCAGCAGAGAGCGTTCGAAAAAGCGCACACCCTGCGACCCCGTGTGTAATTCGTTGTTTTTTTTTTGGAAACATAATTTCAGTTTTAGAGAATTTGAAAAAAATACTGTTTCAAATTTTTTTTGAATTCAAATCCAAAAAAATTGATTTTATTATACACAGTTCTTTCAAAAAATTTAAAAAAAAAAACTTTTTTTCAGGTTCAAAATTCTAAAAACAACTGTTTTCAGATTTTCAGAGCCAAATGCAAAAAAAAATTCTAGAATTTTTTTTTGAAAAACTACTGTTCAATTTTTTCTAAATTTTGAAGTTGAGACTCGAAAAGTAGTACAAATATTATTGTTTTCGGAAAAAATTAGAGTTGAGACGCAGACAGTTAATCGGAAAATTTCTCTGCGTCTCCACCGAATATGTGCTGTTTAGGCTTGCCGCTTCGAGGTACCTACCGTATTTAGACTGCAAAATATAATTACTAACTCTATTTTTTTCGGACAACAATCCTTCCTATAATTCTAGATCCAAAACAATCCAAAAGTTTCAAAAATAAAAAATTTACTGTTTCAATTTTTTTTAACTTTAAATATTTTTAATTCTTTTAGTATAACCATTTTTTCAAAATTTCAAATCCCCACTTTTTCCTCTTTTTCTCTCTCCTGATTCTCTCCATCATTCTTCTTCCCATCATTTCCAGCCCCCGGATTTTTATGGATTTTTTCTCTCGACGATTTTTTTGGTTTTTTCCTTGGAGACTCATCCTTCTTATTGTCCAAATGCTCTTCTTTGGGTGCTTCTGATGGTTTTGCAGCTTTTTCTTTTACCAGTTTTTCCTCCTCTTGCCCATTATTAATATTATTATTATCTGGTTTCGGTGTGATTTGGGGCGGAGTTTCAGGCGGTGTTGCGACTGTCTGCTAGAGAAAATTGGTTTTAACTTTTTGAATTTTCATCTACTCAGACGAAATGAACACTCATGCCGGCACAAAAAGGAAAAAGGCGTACACGCCGCAGGAGAAATTGTTTTTTCAGGCCGGCAAGGTTTTTTGAAAGTCACGCCGGCATGGAAAAGCTCTTTCAATCCTCCCCCTTCCCTCCGCAGCTGATGAATCAATAAAAATACACTATTTATTAAAGAGAAATAACTGAAAAGTAACATATTTCAAAAAGTGATAAGAATTAGGGAATTTCATTTGAAGTACAATTTGCGAGAAGTGGATAAGGCCGAAAAATAAATCGTTTTCAAATCCTTCACAATTTCGTCTGATTTGAAGCAAATTATGTTGATTCGACTTTGTTCCGTTTTCAGAGTAATCCATTATTCGAATCGAAATTCTTGGTTCCTGATCAGAACTCGGTGACTGAAAATTTATTTTTCGATTGATTATATCATCAATATTATACTAACCAAACTGCCGATCTTTTAAGATTACAATATCCGTGAGAATTGGGTTCCCACTTGTTGTATCCGACTAGTTGATCTTCCATTTCATCGAAGTGAGAAAGAAATATTATGCAGACAATCAAGAGTATCTGAAAAATCTGAAAACTTATATTTTTATGAAAACCTGACAATTTCAAACCTTCTCGATTCTCGTTTTTGTCGCAAGTTGGTTGAGAAGTCGAGAGAGCCATAATTTCTAGAATGTGGAAAATATTTGAGGGATGAAACAAAAAAAATCTTGAGAATAAGAAAACTTGAAAATAAATTTAAAAATATTAAAAACACACGGGCATTTCGGAGCTTCGTTTCCTCGCCGGCAGATAATTTTCCTTTCCCTAACCGTATGGCATGACCCTTTCTTGCCGGCAAGCAGAATTATCATGTCGAAACCAAAAATTCTCATGCCGACAAGGCACTTCCTCGCCGGCTTGAGTTTTCATTTCGTCTGAGTAATTAGTTTGAAAATTAAATATTCAGAATCAGTAGAACAAGAGCTTTCGAACAAGTATAATCATGACCCATTTCCCCCTTAAAAGTTCGCTAGAGCGCACTTACCACAGCTCTCTTCTGCTCAGCAGTCGACGCCTTTGATCGATTTGTTGGTAACGTGGATTTTGGCTTTTTCGAAGTGCAATTCGACACGAAAAATGCAAGAGAAACCAGTGGGAATCCGATAACATGATGATGTTGATCATTGTATTGCTTGTTGTATTACTCGCTCTCTAATTGGCAAATCTGCAATACTTAGAATCTGAAAATTAAAAATCCAGTTTTTTCTAGTTTCTCAGCGTCATTTTACCGTAAAACCTGTATTACAAGGGCCGGACCTTCTATTTTTCGTGAGGTCTCTTGGGGGGCACTTCAATTAGAGGGGCACTCCAATTAGAGGGGGCAATTCTATTTTTTATTGCCTTAAAATGTTTCAAAAAATATGTATTTTCCTGATATTATTGCGAAAAAATGCAAAAAAATCCTAAATCCCGAAAAACGGCGTTGAAAAAAAAATAGGATTTG